TATGTGTGTGTGTGTGTGTGAGAGAGACTGTTCACACAAACCTGCTGAGGAGTATGTGAGACATCGTACATCCTGTTCAGGCTCAAGATGTATCCATCAGTCCGGTCCTTGTTGATCAGGTCCAGGGTTTCTTCAGCCACCTTCACAGCTTTAGGGTTTTTGCAGCCTTGTCGGGTGGACTTGGCTCTCACCTCCTGCAGCAGTGCAGCCAGAAACGGGACCAACAGGAACACATTCATCCTCAAACACACACCCATTCACACACAGCCCCCCAAAATAAAATGAATGAATGGATTTTAAAACATGTTGTTCACAGCTAGATTCCTAAACAAGGTTCAAAGTTCTTTATTATCATTCGCATAACATGTGGCACATGAGGTGGAACAAAATTGTGTACTCAATGTCCCAGTTGCAACCAAAAGTAGCCAAAATATATATTATAAAAAAGAAACAGTATACAAGGATCTAAGATACATTCTAAACAATTATACTGTAATATAATATATAAATGCTCCTGCCAGCACCTCGCAGATGTTGGACGCTGTCTCATCACGGTACGCTAATATTCATTAGTGGCTGGAACTACCGTACCCATCACTGCACCCTGTATTAACTGGTTAACTGGTCATCATTAACTTCACTCACTCTCCCACTGGTACATTTTCATCTTTAAATCACTTCTTGGTCTGTTGCCTTCATATATCTTACATGTCGCTACGTGAGTGCAGCTACAGTGTGTACTCTCAGGACATCATTACATGCAGTGTACCCTCAGTGCAGACTGAACTAGTCAAAAAGGCTCCGGTTTCCTGGAACATCCTGCAAAAAGATCTGAAGCTCTCGACCTTGACCTCTCTAAGGGGCTTTAAATAACTGCTAAGATCATGGCAAAAACTAACACAGACATGTTCCTGGTTTTAGTATTTTACATCACTTTATAATGTAGTTGTTTTTGTTACAAGTTTTAATTGTTTGTTATTTATTATTTACTCTCAAATCAAAACTGTATTTGGACTCATTTAACGTCTTACCTCCCCATCATTCTAGGCCTTTAATTTTCTCTCCTTTTTAGTCACAGCTGTAAAAATACCAGTTCTAACAAGATTTACTGTTCAGAACACAAACTCATTTTCAATTTAATAATTTTAGACATCCGCAATCTGTCGACGAATTTAAAAACATTTAGTTATCATTGTCTCAGCAGAGTCTGACTATTGTTCTCATCTGAGCCTGGGCTCCAGCCATCCCCACAGCAAACGTGCACAGCCATTTCTTATTAAAAAGAAAATAATCACAATTACCTCGTATGGGCTCAGATTCCTGTTCCACGCGAGTTCAGTTACGACTGGAAAGCCTCCCCAAAGACCTCAGAGGACGTTGGGCATCAAATGTAGTATATTTTATTACAGCAATATGATACCTTGATTCTAATTGACAGTAAAGTTTGGAGTTTATTTTAGAAAACACTGAACCTCTGAATCAGCACAAGACCAAATGAAACCCCCTGATCGGACATCCTCCAACCTTCTTTATACTGCCCTGCTTACGTAAAAACAAGCACACACACACAAGCTGTTTTTGCCAAAAGTGTCTGTCCTTCATCTGTCTCTAAGGACAACACTGGCCTTTCGCCCAGACATTCTGATGCTGGCAGGGGTGTACTGGGACAATAATCCAAGCCAGGAATTTGATACCATTCCAGGTCACCACTACCCAATAAAAGCAAACCACGAAGACTGAGCACCAACAAAACTGGTTTGTTCCACTTTGGAGTAAGCTGTTGGGGGAAGAATCAGTTTTGTGTTGTGTGGTTCCTTGACTGATGAAGCCTTCTGGATGGAAGGTGAAAGGTGTCAGCACAAAAAAAAACAAAAAAACTGTCCAAATGACCTGACTGAAAATTGTTGGATTGTATACTTGGATTATTGAGCATGGACTTTTTTGGTTTTTAACCAGTTTGACATGACTGTCGATGAAGAAGAGGGCCTGCACCAGAGGAGGGGGCATGCCAAAGAGACCATCTTAGCACCAACATAACTGGCTTGTTCCACTTTTGAGTAAGCTGTTGGGAGGAGATTCAGTTTTGTGTTGTGTGATTCCTTGACTGATGAAGCCTTCTGGATGGAAGGCGAAATGTTTCAGCACACAAAAAAAAAAAAAAACTGTCCAAATGACCCGACTGAAAATTGTTTTATTGAATACCTGGATTATTGAGCACGGACTTTGTTGGTTTTGAACCAGTTTGACATGACTGTCGACGAAGAAGAGGGCTGGCACCGGAGGAGGGGGCATGCCAAAGAGACCATCTTAGCACCAACAAAGTAATAGGAAAACATGCAACGGGACTATGCGACAAATGTAATCTCCCTGAAACAGTACAACATGTTTTTATGGAATGTACTGGATATGAATTCGAAAGAAGAAGTTTCCAAAAAGAAATGGATAAAATGAATATAAAATTTACAATGAATAACATTTTTAGTAGTGATAATAATAAAGTCAAAAATCAAATCATTATTTTCTTGAAACAAACAAATTTAATAGATAGAATTTAGATAAGGTATCAAGGTTAAGTAATTTCACAGAATTATTATTATTATTATTATTATTATTATTATTTTTTTATTTTATTTATTTATTTATTTTTTGCGTGTATATCTCCTGCTCACACTCCAGCTCAGTAGGTGGCGGTAATGCACCTAACAGTTGGTATGCCAACCGCCATAAAACAATACTAGAAGAAGAAGAAGAAGAATCAGTTTTGTGTTGTGTGATTCCTTGACTGATGAAGCCTTCTGGATGGGAGGTGAAACGTTTCAGCACAAAAAAAGAAACTGTCCAGATGACCTGACTGAAAATTGTTGGATTGTAGACCTGGATTATTGAGCATGGACGTGTTTTGGTCTAGAAGTCATTAACAAGCAAAGAAACACAATGACATCAACTACTGTTCATTGTCAAAGTCAAACGACAACATTACTAAACATGAAAACATTTGCAAGTATCTTGTAAAATAACTATCTACAAGTTCTGTTTTGTTTTTTCAATGTAAAAAATGACATTTGTTTGCATATTATGTCGCCATGTTAACTTGAAACGGCAATAAAAGTAATCATGGTAAATCATGTCAGTAAATCAGGGTGCCGAGCCGATCGTCTTGATATAAAAATTTTGGGGGCACACATTATGCTAAAAATCTAAAGTTCTTTATGCTTTGGGTTAAGGCTTGGGTACTTATCTCCTCTCTTTAACCTTCTCATCACCTTCTCATGCATCTGCATGAATATAATGCTATTTAATGATTTCCTATAAAAAGCTTTAAGGCCAAAAATCAGGAAAGATCAAATCTTTTGCAGAAATATTTGGACAATAAAGGTACTGATTTGATAAATAAATACCAAGTTTTCAGAATAAATTCTTCAACTTCCAGATGAGGAAAAACACAAAATCAATGATGTGATGCGTTTCCTTACAATAATGGGTGAGGGCATATGTTTATCTCCTCTTTTCAGACACGGTTTTATTGCATTTGTTGGAGCAACATACATGAAAATACTTTTAATGGATAAAATGCATTATTCATCCAATCAGAGCTTGAAATTTCTTATACCCAGTCTGTGTCTTCGAGGGCCGGGGCAGGAGGGGGCTGACGGAGCCGATCTGGGGGAGGGATCCTGAAACACAATTGTACCCAGGAGGCCTTGTGGTCTGGAGATGGTGGTGTGTGAGGTGGGTGTGGCTGTGTGCACGTGCTCATGCGTGTGCAGGTGTGTGTGGTTAGAGTGCTGAGGCTCTGCGTGGCCTCCGTCTGCTTGTTTATGGGCCTGCTCCTCCTCAGCAGCAGCCTGCAGAAGACAAACATGTTGAAAAGATGTTTTAATCTGAACAAAACTCAGATTTTATATTTTAATAATGAAATTAAAAAAAAAAAGGTAAAAGCCAACATTTCTAACAAATCTTTTTATTTTATGTTACAGATTTAATTGTAAGACTGTGAATTATTTTTTGAACAGTT